GACATAATGATACCCGTGACGTAATGTTAACAGTGACATAATGATACCCGTGACGTAAACAGTGACATAATGATACCAGTGACGTAATGTTATTAACACAGTGACATAATGAACCCGTGGACGTTAATGTAAACATTGACCAAAATGATAGACAACCCGTGACGCGAAAACAGTGACATAAAGAAACCCGTGACGTAATGTTAACAGTAGACAAATGGAATAACCATTGGACGTAATGGTTAACAGTGACCAGTAATGATACCAGAGACGTAAATGTTAACAGTGACATAATGATACCCGTGACCGTAATGTTAACCAGTGACCATTAACGAAACCCGTGGAGTAAACATGACATAATGATACCCGTGACGTAATGTTAACCAGTGGGACAAAATGATACCACGTTAACGTAAACAGTTGACATAATTATACCCGTGACGTAATGTTTAACAGTGGCAAAATGATACCCGTGACGTACTTTTTTAACAGTTCACATAATGATACCATGAACGTAAACAGTGACATAATGATACCCCGTGACCGTAAAACAGTGACATAATGATACCCGTGACGTAATGTTAACAGTGACATAATGATACCAGTGACGTAATGTTAACAGTGACATAATGATACCCGTGACGTAATGTTTATCAGGACTAATGAATACCAGTGACGTAATTTAACAGTAAATAATGATTAACCCTGACTTAAACAGTGACAGAAATGAAACCCGTGACGTTACAGTGATCATAATGATACCCGTGACGTAAAAAACAGTGACATAATGATACCCGTGACGTAAACAGTGACATAATGATACCCGTGACGTAAACAGTGACATAATGATACCCGTGACGTAAACAGTGACATAATGATACCAGTGACGTAAACAGTGACATAATGATACCCGTGACGTAAACAGTGACATAATGATACCAGTGACGTAAACATTGACATACTGATACAAGTGACGTAAACAGTGACATAATGATACCAGTGACGTAAACAGTGACATAATGATACCAGTGACGTAAACAGTGACATAATGATACCAGTGACGTAAACAGTGACATAATGATACCAGTGACGTAAACAGTGACATAATGATACCAGTGACGTAAACAGTGACAATAATGATTACCGTGACGTAAAAAACAGTTAATTGACATAATGATACCAGGTGACGTAAACAAGTGACATAATGATACCCCTAGATATTAACCTAAGCACTTTTTATTTCTCATTGTCACCCATAATATTTATATGTCCTCTGTATTTCGACTGATGGAGCTGTGTGTGCATGGCATCACGCTTCCAGAAATAAAGATTCTCAATTGTGCGGCACGTATAATCTTGCTCATCTTCTGTCGGTATTGAATAATATGGATATAATGATACCCGTGATCCTAATGATCCAGCGACATAATGATGGGACAGTGACATAATGATACCAGTGACATAATGATACCCGTGACATAATGATACCCGTGACATAATGATACCCGTGACATAATGATACCAGTGACATAATGAGACATTGACATAATGAAGACAGTGACAAATGATACCCGTGGACATAATGATACCCGGACATAAAGATAACATTGACATAGCGATGACAGTGACAATAATGATGACAGTGTACAAAATGATATCCTTGACGTAATGATACCCCTGACATAATGATACCCGTGACATAATGATACCAGTGACATAATCATGCCAGTGACATAATGATACCAGTGACGTAATGATACCAGTAACATAATGATACTCGTGACATAATGATACCAATGACATAATGATACCAATGAAATAATAATACCTAGTGAACATAATGATACCCGTAACCATACTGATACCAGTGACACAATGAATAACCAAGACATAATGATACCAATTACATATTGACACCAATGACATAATGACACCAGTGACATAATGATACCAGTGACATAATGATACCAGTGACATAATGATGCCAATACCATAATGATACCCGTGACATAATGATACCAATGACTTAATGATACCAGTGACATAATGATACCAGTGACATAATGATACCAGTGACATAATGATACCAGTGACATGATTCCAGTGACATAATGATAACAGTGACATAATGATACCGTGACATAATGATTACCAATGACATAATGAAACCAGTTGACATATGATACCCTGAACATAATGATTACCAAGTGACATAATTATATCCAGAGACATAATGATAACCTATGAACATAAGATACCAGTGACATAATGATACCAAAGACATAATGATACCAGTGACATAAGATACCGTTACATCATGATACCAATGACCAAAATTATACCAGTGACATAATGATACCTATGACATAATGATACCAGTGACATAATGATACCAATGACATAATGATACCAGTGACATAATGATACCCGTGACATAATGATACCAGTGACATAATGATACCAGTGACATAATGATACCAGTGACATAATGATACCAGTGACATAATAATATCGGTGGCATAATGATACTCGTGACATAATGATACCAGTGACATAAGAATGCCAAGACAATGATACCAGTGCATAATGAACCAGTGACATAATGATAACCATTTGAACATAATGATACCGTGACATAATGATACTCCAGTGACATAATGATACCAATGACATAATGATATCAATGACATAATGATACCAGTGACATAATGATACCAGTGACATAATGATACCAGTGACATAATGATACCAATGACATAATGACACCCGTGACATAATGATACCAGTGACATAATAATGATACGAGTGACACAATGATACTTGGGACGTAACGATACCAGAGACATAATGATACCCGTGAAATAATGATACCCGTGACATAATGATACCCGTAACATAATGATACCAGTGACATAATGATACCAGTGATATAATGGTACCAGTGACATAATGATACTCGTGACATAATGATACCAATGACATAATGATACCAGTGACATGATGATACCAGTGACATAATGATACCAGTGACATAATGATGTCAGTGACATAATGATACCAATGACACAATGATACCAGTGACATAATGATACCAGTGACATAATGATACCAGTGACATAATGATACTAGTGACATGATACCAATGACATAATAATACCAGTGACATAATGGTACCAGTGACATAATGATACTCGTGACATAATGATACCCGTGACATAATGATACCCGTGACATAATGATACCCGTGAGATAATGATACCCGTGTCGCAATGATATCCGTGACATAATGATACCCGTGACATAATGATACCAGTGACATAATGATACCAGTGACATAATGATACCCGTGACATAATGATACCAGTGACATAATGATACCTGTGACATCAAATGATATCAGTAACTAATGATACCAGTCGACATAATGATAACCCGTGACATAATGTAGAGTGGTACCCGTGACATAATGAACCCTGAACATAATGCTACCCGTGCATATTGGTACCAGTGAAATAATTATTACCTGTGATAAATATACCCGTGACTTAATGATACCAGTGACATAATGATACCAGTGATATAATAATAATACGAGTGAGACAATGATACTTGGAACATAGCGATACCAGTGACCTAATGATACCCGTGACATAATGATACCCGTGACATAATGATACCCATGCCATAATGATACCCGTGAGATAAAGATACCCGTGACGTAATGTTAACAGTGACATAATGATACCCATGCCATAATGATACCCGTGAGATAATGATACCCGTGACGTAATGTTAACAGTGACATAATGATACCCGTGACATAATGATACCAGTGTCATAATGATACCCGTGACGTAATGATAACAGCGACATAGTGATACCCATGCCATAATGATACCCGTGAGATAATGATACCCGTGACGTAATGTTAACAGTGACATAATGATACCCGTGACATAATGATACCAGTGTCATAATGATACCCGTGACGTAATGAAAACAGCGACATAATGATACCCATGCCATAATGATACCCGTGAGATAAAGATACCCGTGACGTAATGTTAACATGACATAATGATACCCTTGACAGAAAATAATACCAGAGTCATAATGAAAACCCGAACTGTAATGATAAAAGCGACATAGTGATACCCATGCCATAATGATCCCGTGAGATAATGATACCCCGTTACGTTATTGTTAAAGTGACATAATGATAACCCGTGACATAACTATGATACCAGTGTCATAAATGATACCTCGTGACCGTAATGATGAACAGAGGTCGACATAATGCTACCCCCATGCCATAATGATATGACCCGTGAGATAATGATAAAACCCGGACGTAATTGTTAACAGTGACATAATGATAACACCGAACATAATGAAACCCGTGAGATAATTATAAAACCCGTGACATAATGAACCAGTGTCATAATGATACCCCGTGAACGTAATGATAACATGACATAATGGATACCCATGGTTTCCATATGATGAACGCCGTGAGATAATGATACCCATGACGTAAAGTTAACCGTGACCATAATGATACCCGTGACATAATGATACCCGAGAGGATAATGATACCCGTGACATTATGATACCAGATACATAATGATACCTCCGTATTGGACGTAACGAAAACAGAGGACATAATGATACCCATTCCATAATGAAAAACCTTTAGAAAATGATGCACCCTCGTGACGTAATGTTAACAAGACACAAAAATGATACCCTTGACAAAATGAAAACCCGTGAGATAATGATACCCGAGACAAAATTGTACCAACAAAGTTGGTACAACTATACTCCCAATTTGTCTACACGGTTTAGGTTATGCTTTTAAATGTAATTTTTGTCCCATGTCGCTATAATATCAGGAATTAATCTTTTACATTCCTTTCTGAATCCTATAATTCTTTTCTACACTTTATTCATGTGACCCATCGTTCTACATCTTTGGGTGGATAGTAATGACGTCTCTCCCTCAGGAACCTGGACAGAGACATCGAGAACAGCGTGAAGAGGTGGCGTATGTACTGCGAATGTGAGGCTCCAGAGAGAGAGAAGTTACCGGGGGAGTGGAAGAGTCGCTCAGATGTGCAGAGACTAGTCATCATGAGAGCACTCAGGCCCGACCGCATGACCCACGCTATGCAGTGAGTATTGCATGGTACATACAATAAATATGTTAAGTGATGCATAGGCAGAGCTAAGAATGAGTTTTGCGTGATACGTTATGTGGTGTATGATACATAACATGCCTGTAACAAATGTTGCATGATCCCACACAACATAGCGAGTTGTGCATGACCCATGCTAGCCATGTAGTAGATGCAGTGAGTGCTCACTTTTTCAGCATTACTAAACACCACAAATGATGGAGTTGAAATTTTGGCAGTAGAGTCTGAGCACCAAAACCTTGTCAGTGTGGCAGTATATAAGCCATCAAGAGGTAATTTTCCAACAATTAAAGGAACAGCCTTTTAAAATTGACTACTGTCTGGAAAATCTTCCAACACCAGCTCCAAATATCTTATTACTTGGTGATTTCAATTTATAATGGAAGAATATGGCAAATAATATTATAGTGGAGATAACCCCAGGAGGCAACTCAGATAAAAATTGTCATATACTTGAGCAATTCAATATCTGCATCAAAACCACCTTGACCTTATTTTCGCTCTGGTAAGATATATAACATCATCAAAATTCGGATCACAAACAAATCGAACTTCAGACTTATATACACAGGGGTCCTGTCCAGCAAAATGAGATCAGTTATAATAGCGCCTTCACTAAATTCAACTTCAGTAACAAATACGTCCAGTGGGATCAAATTAACCATGTCCTAAATGAAACATGCTGGGAATATATCCTAAACAACACAGGTCCAACCCAGTGCTTAAAAAAAATTAACTCTGTGTCACTTGAGGTATGCTCAAGGCATACCTCAAGTGACACAGAAAGAGAGAGATACTCCCTGTACAGGCAAAGGAGAAGAATCACACAATTTCTCCAAGGGGCCAGTCTATCTGAAAAAAGGAAGGAGGCACCGGCGAGAGAAACATAAAATATCGAACCTAAGCTAAACGAATCATGTAGGAACCAGGAAACAAAGAAAGAGCTTAAAGTAACAAAGGAAAATGAAATAAATACAAAATATTTATTTTCGTATACCAAATCTAGGACAAAAAAACACATCCAGTACTGGGCCCCTTGCTTAAATGAGAGGGGACCAGCAAAGAAATGAGTGACATACTGAAGTCTCAGTATGACTCAGTGTTTAGTGAGTGGTTAATCAGACAAAGGGTCGACAATCTAGATGAATTTTTTATGACCAGAATTTCTGATATATCCCTAACACCACTGGACTCTGAAAAAGCAATGAACGGCTTGCCCGTGCACTCTGAACCAGATGGAGAATAAGGGACGAGTGTAACATCTGAGTATCTTTATTGTAGACGTATTGCATCCAATGGCTATATCAATATAAATTAAAGGAGATAATGGAAGACAGTAACACTATATTCAAAAGACGAGGTAATCAGTCCCTCAGCCTTGGAGTAGGTAAGGAGTACCGTTTTGAAGAATCTGAAGCACAGGCATGAAGACTACCTCTTATATACTGGTGTTAGGTGAGGGACGTGCAGCAGACGAAGACATTGTCATTGGTTGGCGGGATTCCCCGGTGGAAATAAATCATACCCAAGGGATGTGCCAGTAATAGTTAAGAGGGATTGCAGGATACTGCTATGTCTTACACCCACTCTGTCCTGACTCGAAATACTGTGTTCATCAAGAAATCCTTTTCGCTTGCCTTAAATATTCTATGGAGAAGGAGCCTATACACGGGGGTCATTCCACAGCCACTAAAAACAACAGGTATAGCCTTATTCCGCAGAGTGGCAGCAAAGAAATTGCAAAGAGATACAGAGCGATAGCACTAACGTCCTACATCATATAAATCTTTAAACGGGCTCTGAGAAGCAAGATTGCCAACCACTTGGGTACCCAGCAGTTGCATAACCTAGGGCAGCATGGTTTAGAGCAGGTCGCTCCTGTCTCTCACAACTACTGAACCACTATGACATTGTCTTGGGTGCACTGGAGGACAAAGAAAATGGAAACATAGTATATATAGACTTTGAGAAAACCTTCGACAAATACGATCATGATATAATAGCGCAAAAAATGCTTGATAAAGGAATAACGGGAAAAGTGGATAGATGGATCTTCAACTTTCTAATCTAGAACACAAAGAGTAACATTAAACAGAGTAAAGTCTAAAATCAGAGGCAACTACAGTGAAAAGCTGTGTTTCATAAGGTACGGTACTCGCTCCCACCTTTTTCCTCATCCTCATATCTGACATAGACAATGATGTAAGCCATAACATCGTGTCCTCCTTTTCTGATGATATCAGAATTTGCATGGCATTGCCATCCATTGAGTACAAATCTGCAAGCAGATATAAACCAAGTCTTCAAATGGATCACAGAAAACAATATGCAGTTCAGTGAGGAAAGATTTCAATTACTCTGATATGTAAAATTTGAGAAAATAAAAACTAGATCGGGGTATAAAACAAATTCTAACCACATAATATAGCAAAAAACTAACGTGAAGGACTTGGGAGTGATAATGTCAGAGTCTCACTTTCAAAGATCACAACAATGTCTCTATCACATCTGCAAGAAAAATAATAGGATGAATAGTGGAAGCCTTCAAAACAAGGGATGCCGAGCCAATGATGATTTTCTCTAAATCACCTGCTCTCTCTAGGCTGGAATACAGCTGTACACTTACGGCCCCTTTCAAGGTAGGCGATATTACAGCTCTGGAGAATATAAAGAGAACTTTCAAGCACTTCAATTACTGGGAACGTTTGAAGTCCCACTTACACCTGGAATTCCTAGAGGGACTAGTCTCTAATCTGCACACGAAATTGTTCGCATCGCTCTCGGGCCGTGTGGACCTGCTGCGCAGACGCTCTGTCTAGGCTTGCTTTCTGCGCGGTTTTCCCTGTTTTGAATATTCAAAATGGCGGATAGACATGGTCGCCGTGTAAATACGGTGTGTGTCGAATTGGTTCATGGAACGCTTACAAGTTCAGCGATGTAGGTGCTCCTGCCTACGGTCATCGGCGAGGTATATGGCATACCGAATGACGAATTGTATGGAGTAGCCAAAAATGGAATTACAAGGATCTTCATCAAGTTTAAGGAGGAGGGCTTCTACTCAAGCATCGTTAACAAATATCAAGAGAGAAGACTGGCCGTGAACACTGCAGTGGAGGTATGCCTCCATGATGTGTCGAGTTACATGACGTGGGTAAAAGTAAGGAATGTACAATTTGAGGCAACAGAGCATGATGTGGTAGCAGTTTTCCGTAACTATGGAAAAATCCACTCAGCTGTGTTGGGAGTTTAGAAAGATGGACCTTATGAGGGGTTGCCTGAGGGATCATTTACACTGAAAATGACCTTACGGCAGCCAATTCCATCGTATGTGCTACTGGACGTCTTTAGGACTCAGGTCTACGTGTATTACTCAGGACAGAGGAAGACATGCAGATTGTGTAGGTCTTATGACCACATGGCAGCCCAATGCCATAAGAAAGCAGGAAAGAGGGTTCAGATACCATTGCCTATAAGTCAGCAGCAAGGTATAGAGGCGTCGGAGACTGGGGTACGCCCCAAAACGACACCTTGTCGTTGGAGTGAGGAAGTTGATAAGGCAGAGGAGGCAATGAACGAATGTGTAACGTTACCGGTTGACACAGAGACTGCAACAGCGACGAAGAGAACGAGTGATGATGAGTGTGAAGGACCACAGGATGGCTTACTGGAGGAGGTTATAAACTCCTTTCTAAGTGAAGTTGAGGGTGGTCTGGAGGAAACAAGGAGTACACACATGTCGGTGACATCACATAATGATTTGGTGGTTGAGGAAAATTTGCGCACTAATAGCACTGTGCACACAATTGTGGCAGAAGTACATAGGGAGGGAATGAGAGATGAAGAAGAGTGTGATGACGGAAGTTCGCGTAAGCGATCGCTGAACGTCGGAAATGGATGACGTTTCTCACTCCAGGACAGAGATCAGGGGTAAAGTCTTGGAAAAAGGAAGTGAGCCAAACGGGGAGAGAGGGGAAGGGTAATGAAGGGATGAATAGTTCTAAAGACAAGGGGGGGGGGTGTAGGGGGGTTGAACAGGCAGGCTGCCAAACGAGAACCTCTTCACCAGCGAAGTATAGTAGGACATCTACCAAAGCGGAAGGGAAAGCCGCCGCTATTAAAGTAATTCAAGGTAGTAACAATTAATGTAAATGGATTGATGAATGAAGTGAAAAGAGTCTGGATGGAATGGCTCCTCAGGAGGTATAATATAGATGTATGTTTTATACAAGGACATAATTATAAGCTCGGCTGTACATTATTACTGAAAGGTTATAAGTTATATGTGAGTGGGTCTATGAGGTTAAAAGGAGGAGTGGCTGTGGCTGTGAAGGAAAACAGTCCCTTACGTATACTAAAGTGAGAGGAGGGGGGGGGGGAGGGTGGTGAGGGTGGATGGTTAGGTTAGGTTAGGTAAGGTTCGTCAGGAAACAGGACAAATGTTTCCTGACGCGGGTCTTAGTCAGATGATGACCCGCCTTTGGAGCTTTTGGTCATCTGACCGAGGCCTTCCGCTGGCTTACCGGTCCACCCCTTTAAAAATTATGGTCATTTATAACCATTGTTATATGGGGGTGGATGGTGAGTGGGGTAAAACTAGAGTATGTTTTATAGGGGTTTACATGCCAGCGGAGAGCAAGGTCCGAATAAAAGAGGATTTTGTAAGAGACATTTTGTTGTATCATTTACGAGGTTTACCTTTAGTCACTATAATTGGAGGAGATTGGAACTGTGTCATAAGGGGGGGGGGACGTGGAGCCGAGGGGGGGGTGTTAGGGTGTTACGCAATGTTTTGCAGGATGTAGGGGTTAGGGATGTGGGGGGAGGGGGGCTTGGAGAATAGAGTTTACCTTTGTCAGAAGAGGTTATTCAGCGCGTTTAGATAGAATCTATACATCGGAGTCAGTGTGAGGGAAGTAAGAACAGTGAACGTGGGGTTTTCTGACCATAGGGCAGTTTTGGCTGAGCTGGATTGGGGG